CCCTGGCGGAGTGCACCGGGGTCGAGCACCAGGCCACGGCGCAGGCGGAAGCGAGCCGCGCAATCGGAGGGAGAGGGGCGCTCTCCTGTCGAGACACCGCGCCGCTGAGCCGCGCGCCGCTGGGGGCGCGGCCGCGCCTGCTGCGAGAGGCACCAGAAGCGGGGCCCGTGGCAGTCGCGAACGGGCAACCGCGTGAGCAGCCGGCAGGGGCGAGCGCCAGGGGCCGCGCCCTGGGCGCGGGCCGGCGCAGCCCCGAGGCTGTAGTCCAGTGCCGGCAGGGAGTGCGCCACGCGGGTGTGCGGGAGGCGACGCGGGCGTGGGCGACCCTGCTGGCCAAGGTTGGTGGAAGTCACTTCCACCAACCTTGGTCGCGCCTTCGCAGCCTGCGCGGCGCGTCTCAGCAGCAGGAGGAGGCGGCGCGCGACAATGCGATGACGCTCGGGCGGCCCACGATGCCATCCCAATGCCAAGCTTCAGGACGTCTACTTGATGAAAAGTTCTCAAATTCAAAATCGTTGCGGCTCCTTGGGGGGAGGCGGCCTCGCAAGAAGTGCCCGAGCACTGCTCCTGCGGCTTGGGCCGAAGTTCGCGCAGCAGCACCTAGCGGTGATCATGAGACGATGGTCGCATCGCACCGTCGCCTGGCACGCCAAGCGCGCAACCCAGTTTTTACAATGGTGGGAGCTAGGACGCGGACCTTGGGACTCGGAGCGCAAAACGCAAGTACCAGTGGACGACATCATTCGGTCGGTACATCCACTTCCTGGTGGACAGAGGGTGCAATGCCACCGTGCCCACGGCGCGGGTTGCGTCACTCCGGTTTCTGAACAGGCTGGCAGGCCTCGCGCCGCGCCTACCATTGGCAGACGTGTCTGTCACCACGCTGACTGCATCCCATCGGCGAGAAGGACGTAGGCAAGAACGGGAAACGGTGGTGTACACATATATTGTACAAGAAGTGCGGAAGATAGAGCAGGAGTTTGCAGAGAGAGACAGCAGGCGTTTGGCACCGATACAGCGAGTGCTCCTTTTCACTGAGCTACGTAAGCTGCTCGCGGCCCTGAGGAATGACGACGCATGCTGGGACCGGCCCGACACCTGGGAATTCGCGGGAGGCCCCGCGGGATTTTGGTATGGGAAGTTCTACAAAACGAAAGCTACAGAACCGACAGCAACCAGGGTGCGGGGTGGAATGCCGTGGGCCGTCCCGATGCGTGGCATCTCGGAGCCGGGGGTGCATTGGTGTGCGGGTGCGCAGGAAGACTTGAAGGCCTGTGGAGTAGAAGCGAACGCGCAGTATGCGCTGCCATTACCGGCCAACGTCCAATTTGGAGTTCGGCCACCAGGGGCGGCGGTTGCGCACGAGTGGCAAACGGCGCTGACAAGCGCACTGAGGGCCGTGCAAGTTCCGCCCGAACGGGCGCGGAGGATCAGGCTCCACTGCTAAAAAGGCGGTGCTTACGTGGGCTGGATGCGCGGGCGCTGTCTCTGACAGGGAGCTCGAGATCCTTGGGCACCATTGGTCAGCAGCCGTAGGTAGAACAGTCATGGCGTACAATGTAAAAGATTTGTCCGCCTCGGTTGACAAGTGGCGCAGGCTGCTTGACGAGATTGCGAGCGGACACTTTGAACCAGACAACCCTCCGGGGCTGCAGTGGGAGACCGAAGCCTACGCACGCTGGCAGGGCAATCGCGCGAGCGGCCAGCTCAAGGGACCGCGCAAGGTGGAGCCTCCGCAGGGGCGTGCCCATAGTAGCAAGAGTCCTCGCGGCGCAATATTTATCCAGTCCTCGGAAAAGTCATCCGACGTGGAAGTCGAAGACGTGCGAGTGCTTGTAGGCGTGGAGCGCCGCCAGAAGGGTTGTGCCACCCCAGCGCAGCCGGATGCAACCGGGGCGCACGCGATCAGACCATGCAGTACTGTTCACGTGAGCAGCGGGCCCAGGGAGAACCGGGCGCACCGGTCGCGAGCGCGCTCTATCAGCGCCCTTGGCCTGGACTAGGAGTAGTCGTCGCAAGCGAGCCCTATCCCTACGCAAGGGAACTGTCCCTCCATGTGTGTTTGCACGTGCGCGCGAAGGTCGCCAGCGGCGCGAGAACAAGGTCTCCTGACAGAGGCACCTGCACCTGGGGGTCAAGTGGCCGCCGTGTGCGATGTCTGCACCAAGCGCGCGCGCTGGATGCCGCGGGCACCGTCAGGCTAGGTCCGCGCTGCGCGCGTCGGCGCACCGCCCAGACGCGCCGGCTCCGCAAGCGGCGCCGAGGGCGCGGGGGGGCATAGGTGGGCGCCCCTCTCCGAAGGGCGTCCTCCCGAAGTGTTGCGGAGCTACTGGGGAGGGTCCTCCCCCTTCTCCTCGTTCGCCTCCTCCCCTTCCATTCCCGTGCCGTATAAACTTGGCATCGCTCGGACGTATGCATTTTCTTTCGGCGAGAGCCATCGAGGACCATCCTGGACCATCGAGCAAAAAAACACGCACGAAACCGAACAATGCACGGGAAATGGACGTCGGAGCGACGGCAAGTCAATCATTTCTGCGTGTCGCACCCCGAGGCCCGCGTTTAGGGCGGGCCGGGCGTTTCGCCTGACATTTCCTGCTTGAAAGTTGGCAACAGCTTCGCAGATGGAGGGTGGCAAAATGTGACTCTCGCCTTCTGCCGCGCTGCAAAAAAATACAAAGTTTCACAGGTTGCGGGCGGGTCGTTTTCAAAATGTGGTTCTCGCTTCAGCACCGCGCACATGCGTTCAAACAAATGGCAAGAGATTCGCGGATTGCGGGCGGGTGGTTTTCAACATGTGGCTCTCGCCTGTAGCGCCGCGGACATTCGTTGTAAATACAGCCAAGAGCTTCACGGACTGAGGGCGGGTCGTTTTCAAAATGTTGTTCTCGCCTTAGCGCCGCGCACATCCGTTGATAACAAATATTAGAACTTCACGGATGGAAAGCGGGTCGTTTTCAAAATGCGGTTATTGCTTTAGCGCCGCGTGTCTTCGCTGTGAAAAATAGCAAGAGTTTCACGGATCAAAGGCGGCTCCTTTTCAACATGTGGTTCTCGCCTTAGCGCCGCGCACATTCTTCTTAACATGTGCAAGCATTCCATGGATTCCCATCGTCCACGTACCAGAAATGGCGTTTCGGACGCATTCAGGATTATGAGGTCGCAGCAGTTACGTTGATTCGCGGTGTTGAAATCGCAGGAATGGCGTTCTGGTGCGATGCAGGATCGTCAAGACGCAACAATTCGGTTGATCCGTGGGCGTTGCAATCCCGAGAACAATATTTCGGCATGCTTCAGGGTCTTCAAACGGTTGTCTTCCAACGAGGCAGTTCCCTCAGTGGGGCCCATGAATAGGGAGGTTGGAGGGAGGGTTTATTCAAACATTGTTGATTACTCTTGGGCCGACACTGGTCCTCCTCCTCCTCCTCCTCCTCCCTCTCCCCCCCCCCCCTCCCCCTCCCCCCTCATCTTCCTGGGAGGAAGGGAGGCAGGGAGGAGGAGAAGAAGGAGGAGGAGGATGATACGTAGGAGGAGGTCCTTCTCGGACGGGGCCAGGAGAGGACAAGTCCGTCCCAGAGCGTTCCAGAACGCTCTCAGAGCGTTCCGGAACGCCTTGAGAAGGCCGCGACGCCTGGTACATCCTCCAGAGCCGCCGGATCTCCGAGATTCTCGAGTTCTATTCGCCCCGATCTGTCCTCGTTCTGGCTTCGGCTTCGTCTTGTCCTTCTCGCTTCCCCAGCCGACTCTCGACGGTCGCTGTGGTTTTGCCCGCCCCGGGGCAGGGCAGTGCACGCAGGAGGTCGCCTCATCCGCGGGGCGCGGGCCGCCGGGCGATGTCCGCCGCCGGGTGCTCCGGCGCGGCGTCCGCCGAGATCGACGAGGCTCGGAGGGGGAGGAGATCATGTTGGCTACGCGCAGAGGGGGGCAGGGGGGAGGGGGGAAGGCCTCTCAGAAGCACCCCTGCTCCTTCGGAGGCGCGGGCCTCTTCTCTAGACGTAGGGCCGGCGCCTTCTGAGAAGCAGCCTCCTTCCAAGAAGCCTTCCCCCCTCCCCCCGATTCCAAGTATGGGGATCGCTGCTTTTCCAGAGCACCTCGAAGATCGAAGGATCCGAGAGAAACGAGGGTCGAAGAGAACGGAGGATCGAGGACTGAGGATATCCAGGATGGAGGGCGCAAGGTGGATGATGAAGGACGGAGGACCGAACATCGAGGCTGGAGGGCTTGGGAACGAGGAACAATTTTTGGGTTCACGCAGACTTTATCCCATGTCATAGGTCCAGCTGGTTCCAGTGGCCTTCAGGGGCCGATAGGGACCTGGAGACCCCCGGAGACCCAGGAGGAGGACAGGGAGGGTGAGGAATAGGAGCAGGCATGCCTTCGGTAGGGAGGAGGAGGAGGAGAAGGAGGAGGAGTAGGAGGAGGAGGAGGAGGAGGACCGAAGATCGAAGTAGTCCGAACCCTGCTTTGCCTCGAGGTCTTTGTTTTTGTTGCAGTGCCCCGCGTCTCCTTCCCAACCCACCCCTCCCCCTCCTCCTCCTCCTCCTCCTCCTCCTCCTCCTCCTCCTCATTCTCCGCCGCCCCTTCTCATCATGCTCCTCCCCCTCCTCCTCCTCCTCCTCCTCCTCCTCCTCCTCCTCCTCCTCCTCCTCGTTATCATTCTCGTCCTCCTCCTCCTCCTCCTCCTCCTCCTCGTCCTCCTCGTCCTCCTCGTCCTCCTCTCCCTACCCCTACTCTTCGTCCGCGCGCCTGTGCCTGCGCTCCCCACGGATCGCGCCCTCCCCCCCGACCCCCAGAGAGAGCTCCCCTTCAGGCCCCAGCGGGGGTTTTGCGCATGCCGCCTCGCGCCCAAGTTGGCCCCCCCCCATCGGTGCGCTGCGCATGCCGCTCTGCACCCATTTCGGCGCCCTCGAAGTGCCGCCGTGTGGAGCTCCACCAGCGGCCCCAGTCGGGGTGTCGAGCATGCCGCCCCGGGTCCATTTCGGCACACGCCTCCAACGCTTCCTGTCCCTGTACAGTGGGGGCGCGCATCAAGAAACCATCTGCTTTTCGTCAAGGTATCCTGGGTTTCTTCGCTCAGCGCGCTGCGCGGTGACTTCCCGCAACCGTTGAAGAAGCTGCTGCGTTCGGGATCCTCAGGCTTTCACCTCGCGCGCGGGCTTTCAGGGTTGGGTTTCCTGCGAAGGTTTCTTGTGGCCGCGCCCGCACCCCCCGTCTGGAGCCAGGCCAGCGGCCTCCAGGTGTGCGTGGTGCGCATGCCGCCAGGGGCCCGCTTCGGCTTACTCTTTCTCTGTCAAACACACACACAGACACACACACACACACTCACACTCACACTCACACTCACACTCACACTCACACTCACACTCACACTCACACTCACACACTCACACTCACACTCACACTCACACTCACACTCACACTCACACTCACACTCACACTCACACTCACACACTCACACACACAAACACACACACACACACACAAGCACACACACACACACACGCTTTGTTGGCGTCGCGGCCCTGCCCGCGGCGACAGGGCGTAGGAGGTCGGAAGCCAGTGAGGCGCGCGCGCCTGCACCCAGCCGAGGACTCAGAGACCACTCAGGGCCTCGCAGCCGCCGGCAGCCACAACCATCTGGGAAGGGACGACGAGGAGGGGGCGGTGACCACGGTGGGGCGGAAAAGGTGCCACAAGCCCCCCGGGACCGGAAGGCGGGGAGAGCGAGCAGAGGCAGAGTGGACCGACAAGGGGAGTGCCAAGGAGCGACAGGGAGAGCTTGAGCAGGCGGTGAACCGCAACAAGTCGGAGGCTAAAGAGGCCGCGAAAGCCGCGGAGCCGGGCGGCGCGCGAGCAACGGCGGCGGCCGAGAGGGCGGTCCCTGAAGGAGCGGCCAGGGCTGTCCCTCCGAAAGGACCCAGGGGGTCCAGGCAGCGAGCGGAAAGGTGGGCGCGGAGGCAGACAGGAGGTGGAGAGCGGCAAGGCGGCCCCGAGCCGCAGCGGCCAGCCCCAGTCCAGCGGGGTCGAGGAGGACCCGCCGCCCCGGGGAGGGGAGAGGCACGCAACGGCACGGAGGGGGCGCAGACCAAGCGGGGCCTGGGAGGCGGGCACGCGCGCGGGTGCACCTGTCGGGCAGCGCTGACCGCAGCGAAGGCGGGGCCCGGAGCTGGAAGAGGACCGGAGCCCGTTCACACCGCCATCTGGGCGCCCCAACCGCTCTCGTAGGGGCAGGGGCCCGCCCGGCGAGGACAGGGGCCGTGGGAGAGGTCCCAGGGGGGGGAGGACCTGGCAGGGCCAACCTGGAAGCACAGTCGGGCCGCTGGAGAAGGAGCCCTTTTCGGTGGGGCAGGGGCTCGGTGTTCCTCAAGTGTTGTACAGCTTGTCTTACTTAGGGGATCCTTGGGTGTTCTATGGGAGATCGAAGTTCACCGTACGGAAGGGAGGAGCCTCGCTCCCTATTCAGGCTTCTTTATGGCAGCGTTCCGACTGTAGCGAAAGGGCTGCCCCAGGCCGGCCGGGGGGCAGGGAGACGTGCAACGCGGCAGGACCCGCGGGGAGGGGGGGGGGGCGGAAGCGCCGGGTGCGACGCGGCCCGTATCGGCTGCGGCCGGCACAGAGGCAGGGCACGCCGAAGCCCAGCGTGCCTGCGGGGGCCACAGCAGCCCTCACCGTCGCCTCCGTGAGTTGTGCTGGCTGAGTGGGCGGGAGGCCCAGACTCCCTCGCGTTGTGAAAAAATGCGACGGTCGGTGTTTCCGCTATGTTCGGCCTCAGGGGGCCCTCGCCGGGCCTTGGGACCGTCAAACGATTCGAGATGAGAAACCGGCCCAGGGGAAGGGGTCCAGACCTCTGGGGGTCGACGTTGTGAACAAAATCACGACCTCGGGGGTCTGGGGGCGGGCCGCTTCCTCACGGCAGGGCCGCCCTCGCTGGGGACCGCGCCGCCCCCAGGGGGTCCACGCGGGGGAGGGGCTGGCTGTGCCCTTGGGTTTAAAGGATGGTGTGGATTCGAGAAGGAGGTGGAGGAGGGAGGTGGGAAGGGACTACCTTGCCGACACCTGCAACACAGACACTCGATTCCCGCGAGGGTTTCCCAACTTTGCCGCACCTTCGTGGCACCTCCTCTTCCCGCTGAGTCTTCCAAGGTGGTAAGAGTTCGAGCTGCTGTTCGCGCGAGCACGTCGTGGCCGCGAAGCGTTCAGGACCAGAGCATGACCCAGCCGACCCCACCAGGGGGCTCAGCGGTGTTGGCGTGCTTGCCTAAATCCCGATGGCCGCGCTGCTGGCACGCCGTCAGGCCCTGGTGGAGGGGGCTCTTCAGACGGCCCCGTTCATTCAGCGAACAGCCGCGAACGACCACCACGCTCCTGGCACACAGGGGCGAGGAGGGGGACGAGGACGAAGGGGGGAAGCGGGGCATCCGGCCGCCCCCCCCCCTCCTGGCAGGCCACCGCCCCAGCCTGGGAGCTGCCGGCGTCGCCCAGTTGGAGCGCGGGCCTGGACACGCCAGCCCCTCGGCTTGGGGGTGTGGGGGGGAGGGGGCGCTGCGCCCGACGATCGGCGACGAGCGAGGATCGGCGACGACGACGATCGGCGACGACGACGCAAAGACGACGAGAAAAGGAGGAGGCGACGGAGGAGGAGGAGGAGGAGGAGGAGGAGGAGGAGGAGCAGGAGCAGGAGCAGGAGCAGGAGCAGGAGGAGGGGGAGCAGGAGGAGGAACGGAGGAGGGGGAGAGGAGGAGGTGGTGGAGGAGGAGGAGGAGGAGGAGAAGGCAGAGGTGGACGGAGGATGGGGAGAAGAGCGGGGCGTGGAAAGGGGGGGCCGGAGGGAGTGAGCGGGGGAGGTGGGGGAAGTGCTAGGGGATGATTCTCCAAACCGTGCCTGCACCTAAGGGGCTCTCTGACCTGCGTTGCCAAGTCGCCGCGCGGGTGTGCCGAGGTCTCGCCCGGTGGGCGGCGATGGGCGCCTCGTGGGGGCCCTGTGCGCTGGCCAGGTCTGGTCTGGTGGGCCGATCGCCGGGTATGGCCAGGACCCCAGGTGAGGGGCCCAGTTAGTAGTAGGGCCAGAATCACCAAACCAGGTGTGCCGCAGATGGTGTTCTTCTCGGGTGACGGCCACTCCGGTCAGTGAAACGGGGCCTGGGGGGCACCCCCCCAGTACACATCACTAAACCAGGTCCCTTTTGACCCAGTTCTGCCAGCGCCCGAGATAGAAGAGGTTGGCCAGACCTATGATTGCCGACGGTTGTTTTCTCCGGACGGGGCTCGACGGCTGTTTCCCGCCGTGGAGGGTTCATGGCGCCCACGTCGCAGAGCGGATTTCGCTCGGAAGCAACATTGGGATGGGCCCGGACTGTCCTGGATAGTGTCGTTCCGGATTGCGAAGCGAATTTCGTGCGGGCTCGTTTGGCCAGGAATGGCTCGTTTTTCGCTCGCCGTCTCGGGGATTTGCGGCGACAGAAGTGCGCACACAAATCCGTTGCAGCACGTCTGCGAGGTCGGTGCAGCGAGAGTGTGGGATTTGCGGGGGAACAACAAGTGGCACGCGTGCCCTGGCTCTTGCACCAAGGAGCTGCGAGGGACAGGAGGCTTTCGCCTTCTTCCTCCAGGAGTGTCCTTCTGTGGCTGGGGGGGGAAAGCACGAACCACGAACGAACGAACGAACGACGACGAACGAAAATGAAGAGGTCGGAGCTCCACAGTGCCGTTTTTTATACATCCTCCGCGTGCGGATCATGTTTTAGAAATGCAGGGATTTAGCATTAAAAACAACGAGGAGTTCATGCACACATTCATTCCTAAATTGATCATGTATCAAAAATCCTATATTTTCAAAATCACATGTATATATAATATTTAAAAAAAAAACCTGTAGAACACAGCCGTGCAAGAGAACGTGTCTGGTGGGCCGCCATGGGCGCCCCGTGGGCGTCCAGGGTGCGCTGGCCGGATCTGCCGAGGTTCCGCCCGGCGAGGGGCCGCGGGCGCCTCGCGGGGCACCGCGTGCCGCTTGCACGACTCGTTGCGGCGCCCCGCCGTCGCGGAGAAGAGCGGAGGGGATAGTGCTTCGGAGTGCGCGCGCACACGCACACTCAGTGACTGTTTACCTGGATGCATGTTATGCAGTTGCATGCGTACGCGTAGGGCATGCCGCCGTCGCACTCGCATCGCAGGCTTTGGGACAATGCGCCAGAGATGTGCCTGGGACTTCAAAAAAGAGGGAGGCGGGCGCGTGGCGGGTCGCGGGTGGGTCGCGGAGTGGGTCGCGGGGTGGGCCGCGGGTGGGTCGCAGAGGGGGTCGCGGGCGAGGACGACGATGTCAACAACACCAATGACAACAACACCAACAACAGCATTAATAATAACAGCAACAACACCACCAACAACAACAACAACAGCAACAACAACCAACAACGACAACAACACCACCAACAACAGCAGCAACAACAATAACATTATTTTTAAGACTGTTCGCTCTTATCTGCCCGCGTGCCATTCAACACGTATACCTCGAACCTTCGATACCCGCCCTCTTCGTCTTCGATCCTACCCCTTTAGGGGTCTATTTCTTTCTTACCTCCAACGTGTATTTCGTGAAGCCCTGAGGCAGGGGAAGAGAAGACGGATGAAGGGACAGGGGGGGAGGAGGAGGATGGAGCACGAGAGAAATTCGCAGGAGGGGGGCTAGGAGCAGAAAGCACGTGGCAGAACCAGACGGGCAGATCGGGCGGATAGACCCGGGCGGATCGGGAAGGCGGGCTCAATCGGCCAGGTCGAGCAGGCGGGTTGCTGAAGCTTGCGTCCTGCATGACTCGCCAGGAAATCTCAAGCGATAGCGCGATTCCCCAATGAGTCGTGTGGAAATCCACAGCGAGAGCGTGATTCCTGAGTGTCGAGGGCGCGGCGTCAGTATAAATTGCGAGGAAGTCCAACGCGAAAGCGCGAATCTTGCATACACTGTGAGGACGTCCCGCGCGAGAGCGCGATTTGCGAATCCATTGTTTGAAAGTGTTAGGCGGGAGCCGTTGTTGGTGTTGTTGTACAGCGGTGACCCACAACATAATCTTGAGACGCAGTAACTTTCCCTTGCAACAAACGGGGTGCGAGCCCCGGAAAAAGGGCACTTCAATTGAAAAACACCGTGTGCCCCGGATGGGGGGATCAACAATACTTATTTTTTAACTGGAGAGTTCAACCACTATAAGTGTAATATTGTTCGTTCTTCCTCTGCGTGCCTACCATTCCACACTATATCCCAAACCCTCGAATCCCGCAGTCTTCGTCTTCGATCGTAACCTTTCGGGTATATATATATATATATGTATGTGTGTATAAAAATGTGTATATATATATATATATATATGTGTCGTACCTGCTGCCTGTATTTCGTGCAGACCCTAAGGCAGAGGAAGAGAGGACGGATGCAAGGAAGGGACAGGGGTGGGTGGGAGGAAGATGGAGCACGAGAGTGAGTAGCAGGATGAGGAGGCAGGAACAGAAAGCATGTGGCAGAACCAGACGGGCAGATCGGGCGGATAGACCCTCACGGGCGGATCGGGAAGGCGGGCCCAAGCGGCCAGGTCGAGCAGGCGGGTGGCTGAAGCGTGCATTTTGCATGAATCGCCGAGAAATCTCGAGCGATAGCGCGATTCCCCAATAAATCGTGTGGGAATCCCCAGCGAGAGTGTGATTCCTGAGTGTCGAGGGCGCGGCGTCGACGTACATTGCGAGGAAGTCCCACGCGAGAGCGCGATTCTTATACTAATTGTGAGGACGTCCCGTGCGAGAGCGGGATTTGGGAACAAGGAAGTATCAGGCGGGAGCCGTTGTTGTTGTAGTTCGGGGTTCAAAAACGTAGTTTGGTGACCCCGTGCTTCCCCTTGTAAAAAAAACAGGGTGCGAGCACTGGGAGAGGCATTTTGATTGAAAAATGCATTGGTTACGGGGCAGAGGTATTAACAACACTTATTCTTCAGAAATGAGAGTTCAACAGTTACAGCACCCACAACAATAACAGCAACAATCAGTTGAATACTGTTCGTTCCTATCTGCTCGCGTGCCAGTCGACGCGTACATCCCAATCCCTCGGTACTCGCCCGGTCTGTCTTCAATTGTGCCCCCTCGGTGGCATATTTTCCTTACCTGCCACGTGCATGTAGCGCCGTCCCTAGATCGGGGGAAAGGGTGACGGATGGAAGGGAGAGGGAGAAGTATGGAGCACGAGGGCAATTCGCAGGAGGGGGGCTAGGAGCACAAGACACGTGGCACAACCCCTTTTTAGCGTAGACTACCCACCTAACGTAGCCTGGACTTCGGTGACCCCCAGCCTGACCCGCGCGGAATGGGCGTGACACCTGCATTCAGGCGACGCGATTGTCTCGGAATGATGTTCCGGCTTGTGCGTGGGTCTCACCTCTAATCAAACATGTTCTTGCCGTTTAGGCGCCAGCGACATCCATCATTGTGGCTGCCGCTTAGGGGCCAGCGATGTCTCTCATTGAGAAATTGTTTCTCGCCTTGGCGCCAGCCAAATGTTTGATTGAAGATGCTGCTGTCGCATAGGCGCTGGCGACATCGTTCGTTGGCCATGTCGTTCTCGCCTTGGCGCTGGCCAGATCTTGGATTGAAAATGTTGCTGTCGCCGAGGCGCCAGCGACATCCTTCATTCAGCATGTCGCTTTCGCTTTGGCGCAGGCCAGATGTCTGATTGAAAATGTTATTATTGCCTCGGCGCCGACGGCATCCTTCATTGATCATGCCGTTCTCGCTGTGGCGCTTGTCACATGTCTGATGGAAAATGCTGCCTTCGCCCAGGCGCCAGCCACATCTTTCATTGAGCATGTCGTTCTCGCTGTGGCGCTGGCCACATGTCTGATGATCAATGTCGACGTCGCCCAGGCGCCAGCCACATCTTTCATTGAACATATCGTTCTCGCTGCGGCACCAGCCACGTCTGATTGAAAGTGCGGGTTTCGCCTGGGCGCTGGCCGCACGCATGACTGCGATAATTGTTCTCGCCTCAACGCGGGCCGCACTCGATTCGGAATGCTGCTTTCGCCCAGGTCCTTGGCGCTGGCCGCGCGCATGTGGCCTATCTCACGATTTACTTCTGGATCGCGCTATTGCTCGAGACTCGCGGTTTATGCAAGACGCACGCTTCAGCAACCCGCCTGGTCGACCTGGCCGCCTGGGCCCGCCTTCCCGACCCGACTGTTAGGGTCTACCCGCCCGATCTTCCCGTGTGGTTTTGCCACGTGTTTTCTGCTCCTAGCCCCCCCTCCTGCTAATGTCTCTCTCGTGCTCCATTGTCCTCCCTCCCCCTTTATCCATTTCTTCCATCCGACTTCCTCCCTTTCCTTGCCGTAGGGGCTGCATGAAATACGCGTTGCAGGTAAGCAAGATATACCCCTAATGGGGGTACGATCGAAGACGAAGAGTGCGGGACTCGAGGGTTTGGGTATACGTGTTGAATTCACGTCTCACTCGACTGGCTTCACGATCGA